TCGAAGTCCGGGCCCTCCGGGCAAAAGCGGCAACGGGAAGGCGCATCGTCGTCGACACCTCCATTGCCCTCATTTGCGAATCCAACGATACATGTAGATGTCCCGGGCGTGACCGACGATATAGATGCCGCCACAATCGATCAAATGTTCGATTTCGTTCAGCCTCCACCCTCACACGAGGTGGGCCCAGAGCAGCCGTACGAGGACCATCTCGACGATCTATTTGGAAGTACTCCTCCGGATGAGCAGCCACAACAACCCACACAGCCGGTCCGAGTTGTCGGGGGCGGTAAAGTCAAAACTCGGGATTCCGTCATGTTCGACCGACATTACACGAAGGCTCCAAATGAAAAGAAAGGAGGTGATCCTTATTTTCTGGCTATTTGCAACTACTGTCCGGCCAATTCGAAGACGAATTATCAGTTAAAAAAAGGCGACGGGTACGGAACGTTGACCCGACATTTGAAGAATGTTCATCCGACAGTAATGGGAATCGACACGGCACAGACGCAATTCCCAAGTAGCAGCGGAGCATCCGCCTCAGCCACTCAAGGTGCAGGTACGTCTTCTTCTTTATTTCATTATTCTCATGAAAATCATAGACGTCATTTAGCTGAATTTGTTTCTGCTTCGTCTCTTCCTTATAGTTTTGGTGATAGTGATTTATATGAAAATTTTGCTCAAATGGCTTTAAATCCGTCTGCCAACCGAGTTCCTCGTACCACCCTTACTCGCGATATTCGAAAAATCGTGAGTGAGAAGAAACTAATTTTAAAAGAAAATTTTAAATCTTTAAATCATAGAGTATCCATTTGTGCTGATATATGGTCCGATCATTGGATAAATAATTTTATTTAGGGATTACTTGTCATTGGGTTGACGATAGTTGGACTTTACAAAAACGTTTAATCGGTTATGTTGCATTTCATGAACGACACACTGCTTCTAATATTGCTCGTTTAATTTCAAAAATCTTAGATAATTATAGTATTGGTAAAAAAGTATTTTCAATTTCATTTGATAATGCGACTGCAAATACTGCATCTATACGTGAATTAAATGATGTTTGTACACCAATCTGTGGGGGTAGATTTTTTCATATTCGTTGTATATGTCATGTTTTAAATTTGTGTGTTCAAGCTGGTTATCATGTTTTTAAGGATTCTGTAAAGCCAATAAGGGAGGCCGTCAATTATTTGCATAAACGTCCCCAAGAAATGAAAGCATGGGGACGATTTTGTATGAGTGTTGGAATTAAACCTAAAAAATTCCAGCCAGACGTGCCTACCCGGTGGAATTCAACATTTAAAATGTTGAATGTCACCGCTGATTATGCCAAGCATTTACAGGATTTTTTTAATGATACAAACCGTAGGGATTGTGATGTTCGACTTTCGGTGAATGATTGGGCAAACTGTTCGCAACTTACAAATTTTTTAGAAACATTTCAAAACGCTTCTAATATTCTTTCTGGTGTTTACTATCCTACTGCTCAACTTGTGGTCAGTCAATGTATAGCTATAATGTGGGGTTTTAAAGATATTTATGACTTAGATCCTTTTAAATATTCTGGTCTAGTAGAAAATATGTTAGAAAAATGGCTAAAATATTATTACTATATTCCCGATACATTTTTAATTGCATGTCTGTTAGATCCTACAGTTCGTGAGCAAGGTTTGTTAAATCAACTTAATATGTACTATGATTATATGTATCAATTGCCACTGCCGAGTGGGGTCCCGACTTATAGGGACAAACCTAACATACCGCAGCTCGTCGAGCAAGCAAAAAATTCTTTGTATGACATGTTCAAGGAAACAGCGATCGCACATGGAGAGTCTCCCAGCACATTTGTTCGTAGCAGCGGCGCAAGCGGCAGCGGGTCTTCATCTTCGTACGGAGGGCAAAGCGGCAATACAAACTTCGGAAACTTCAAAGTGTTTTGGGATTCATTAAATCCCTACAAAAACTCGGGCGGTCAAAGGGTGCAGGGGACTGGATACTATGAGCTGGATCACTACCTTACGTCGAATTTAGCCGTTACGATTGCACGCCCACCTCAACCGCCACTCAATTTCGATGTGTTAGATTGGTGGTCAAGAATGGGAGGAATTTTTCCTATTCCATGCATTATGGCCAATGAGATCTTTGCTGTCCCAGCATCTACAGTCGCGGTTGAGCAAGCATTCAGTGAGGGCGGCTACATGCTAGATCCACGACGGTCGAGGATGACGCCTGATAATCTTCAAGCACAAATGTTACTGAGTGATTGGAAGAAGGCTGAACGAAGGATGCAAACTGCTATGCTCACTTCGAATGAGGAGGAGGACGACAACGACGATGCATCAGATTTTACGTCGTCGACAAGTGGAACCGGGGGGGACGTCGAAGACGAATACGAATATTAAAGGTATGCAGCCAAGGTATGTGATTTAGAAGAACTACGTGGACTTTGATTCCCAAATAAAGGGATACGTAGGCACCTTATTTAACATTATTAAGTTCGAGTATAATTTTTTGGCAACAAAATTTTTCATCGTACACGATATTCGAACTTAATAACTGTTAACTAAGCTCAAGTCCATTACATTAATAATTTTTTTCTTTACACTTATTCGACTTCATTTGACGTACAATTTAGCATTTCTAAACTACCTCAAGTTGTACTTCTCCGCCATACTCAATAAAATACAACACCGTTAACCGTTTGGTTCCAAGAATTGACGCCCGATCATTATTTTTGTTTCATTTTGAAATGATATAGACAAACAGACTCAAAAACTTATATTTTCGAAGTATATACAAACTATTTATTCAAATAAACATTAATATACATTAAAATAACAAAAAAAGTAAAAAAAAAAAAAAATAATAAACCCGCAAACCCGCCGGGCCCGACCCGGAACTGACTCGACCCGCCGGGTTTGCGGGTTGGCGGTTAAGGGCCTGTTCAATGAACCGGCCCTTAGTTACAAGCGGGCCGGGCCCGGTTCACTACACGGTGAACCGCCGACCCGGCGGGTCGGGCCGGGTTTCGACCTGGCCCGGAAAATGGACACGTCTATGTGCCACAAATGAACATGTTATGTTACAAAATGAACATGTGTAAATCATGTTTGCACATGTTCATTTTATAACATAACATGTTCATTTTAAATTGTCCTGGCACACCTTGCTAGGTGTGCCAGGGCACACGGTAGTAGCACTAGCGTGTAAGCGGTCTTTCTCCAATGTGTTAGAGAGCTTGTTAAAAAAAAGACGAAAATTCCACACCATTAGATTTCATTCAGATTATTTAATGGGAAGGATTGGCTAATGAAACCTCCTCCTTCAAGAACTGGTGGATGAAAGTATGCACCATCAAGCCTTCACCCTCATCTATGCAAAGAATCCAATATTCTGCATACGTACTCTGGTGGATCTGGAAGGCCCGAAATCTGTGGGTTTTCCAAAATTATTGGCTTTCATAATACAACATAATGCAATCAACAACCTCAGCTTGGCATGAATTTTCAACCTCGGGGTCTTTGTAGTTCTAGTTCTAGTTCTAGTTCTTTTTCTCCTTCCTAGTTGCAGTTTAAGTTCATGTTTGTTTCTTTAGTTGGTTTGTTTGCTTAGTGAGGTAACTGATAGGGATCTTTCCAGTTTCAGTTATTTCCTTTTGCTGGTGTAGGAGTGTTTCTCTACCCTCGGAAGTTTGAGTCTAATACTGGAGCCGGGCACAGTCTTGGCAGTGTAGTGGCCTTTTCTTTTGCTTTAGTTTAGTGCATAGGTCGCTATTGTTAGCGCTTCTAGTATTCGGCCCTTGTGGGTGCCGTGTACTTGAACAATTTGTTTCCATTTATAATATTCTGCCGTTTCGAG